GAATTGAAGGAACACAGTCTGAAAGCAGTAGTTCCCAACCTTTGGGCCTCCAGGTGTTTTGGACTTCAGCTTCCACATTTCCTAACAGCTGGTAAACTGGCTGTCATGACCTTATTTCCTTATTGTGTGAAGCCAGGAAATTAGACCATGCCTTAGACCTGGCCTGTGCATACTTGAAAGTGTTCCCAATCAAACTGGATCAATGAAGGGGAGGGGCTAGGTTGAGGAATAGGAGACACAAGGGAAAGAAACTGTCAGTTGGAATTTTGTTTCGTACCACAATGTATGCTTTTAGAAATAAAGCCTTCTCATGTTGCTCGTGAGATTTTTTTTTTTGCCAGAAAGCTACAGATCTGGGGTGCATACTTAGAAGTTTCAATGGAAATGGGAGCACTGAAGGGGAGGGGCCAGGGTGAGGGAAAGAAACTGTCAGTTGGAATTTTGTTTCATACTACAATGTATGCTTTTAGAAATAAAGCCTTCTCACGTTGCTCGTGAGATTTTTTTTTTTGCCAGAAAGCTACAGATCTGGAGTGCATACTTGAAAGTTTCAATACAAATGGGAACACTGAAGGGAAGGGGCCAGGGTGAGGGATAGGAGGCGCGAGGGAAAAAACTGTCAGTTGGAATTTTGTTTCATACAACGATGTATGCTTTTAGAAATAAAGCCTTCTCACGTTGTTCGTGAATTTTTTTTTGCCAGAAAGCTACAGACCCAGAGTGCATACTTGAAAGTTTGAATAGAAATGGGAGCTCTGAAGGGGAGGGGCCAGGGTGAGGGATAGGAGGCGCGAGGGAAAAAAACTGTCAGTTAGAATTTTGTTTCATACCACAATGTATGCTTTTAGAAATAAAGCCTTCTCATATTGTTTGTGAGATATTTTTTTTTGCCAGAAAGCTACAGATCTGGAGTGCATACTTGAAAGTTTCAATGGAAGGGGGAACACTGAAGGGGAGGGGCCAGGGTAAGGGATAGGAGGCGCGAGGGGAAAAAACTGTCAGTTGGAATTTTGTTTTGTACCACAATGTATGTTTTTAGAAATAAAGCCTTCCCACTTTATTCAAGAGGTAATTCCTCCGCCAGAAAGCTTCAGATCCGGACAACGGTTGGGATTTCCGGGAGCTGAAGTCCAAAACACGTGAAGGCCCAAAAGGTTAGGAAACAACTGGTCTAAAGAATATCCTTCTTCATTGCTCATTTCAGGCTCACAAACCGGTCATTCCTTCTCCACATCTCCATCAAAGGAAGCCCATTCCAAGGGCAGCTCCTCATCCTTTTGGGAAGGAGCTGCAGCCAAGAGGCTTACGGAAGGGGCCTCACCAACGCACACCTTCTGTCCTGCAAAACTAGCTCCACCAAACCACATAAACCAGTACTCATAAATAAACTGATATGTTCTGTTACACTTGAGGTTAATCATGGCATCACATTTTGCTTCCTTGGGAGGCCAGGACCCTGGGGAGAAGGACTTATAGTAGTTGAATGGCTTCTGGAAGGGGAACATGAAGGGATTAAACCCTTTAGGGCAGACCTGGGCCAACTTGGGCCTTCTCTCCAGGTGTTTTGGACTCCAACTCCCACCATTCCCAACAGCCTCAGACCCCTTCCAGACCCCAGCCTCAGACCCCTTCCTTAAGCGGCTGAGGGGGAAAAGGAAAGGGCCTGAGGCTGTTGGGAATGGTGGGAGTTGGAGTCCAAAACACCTGGAGGGCTGAAGTTTGCCCATGCCTGGACCTGACTCTGCTCGCACATTGATGAAGCTCAATTGCTCTACTGCTGTGCTCAAGAAGCTTCTCATTTGCTAAACTGCTGCTTTTGCTGCTTTGCCTTTTCAGTTGGTCGAGCTACGAGTTGAGGATAGGATATGAAAGCAATGCAGCCAATTAATGCTGCTAATTCTTTCTACCTGGGTTGCAAAGGGAGGCAAGAAAAGAAGGAGAGGCTCAAGCCATGTTGGCTGAACTGAGAAAAGCAGGATAGAAAAGCCAAGGAAAGAGGAAGGAAGAACAGCAGTAGAAGGATAATATTATCCCTTCTCCACCAGCATGAGTTAACACTGTGTGAGTCTTGCAAAGAAGCACTGAGCAGCATTTGCTCATGAGGAGGAAGGAGCATAGTTCAAAGTAAGGGTGGGATCCCTGGCCACAAACTGCGGGTTAAACCGCTAGCTGCAGAAAAGCTGCTAACCGGAAGGTTGGCAGTTCGAAGCCACAAGTCGGCATGAGCTCCCAACTGTCAGCCCTAGCTTCCGCCCACAAACACTCAAACAAATTGCAGCTGCAGGAAAGCTGCTAACTGGAAGGTTGGCAGTTTGAAGCCATGAGTCGGCATGAGCTTCCAACTGTCAGCCCTAGATTCTGCCCAAAAACCCACAAAACAAATCCCCAAAGTGTAGCACTGAAGGGTATAAGACCCTGAAAGTCACTCACACCATTTGTACATCCAAATTGCCACATTCGCGTCCTCTTGGTCCCTTCGCCCATTCTTTCGTCACTAAACTATTTCAAAATACTTGGACTGAGCTTTTACGTTTTACTGCAATGCTAGAAACACAGGGAACGAAAGGAAAAAAATAAATCACAACAGGGCAGAGTTCTGCCTTTTTTGCTAAGCTTCGGAAGAAGACCGCAAGTCCCAGAAGCAACGTTCCTGGAGTGCGTCAATCTGGGGAAGGCCCAGGGATTGTCCTGCGGGAAGCCTAACGATAATTGACACCGGGAACCGAGCGTCGAGGGCCATAAACACGGAACACGCCGGCCTATTTGGCCAAGCCAAGAAGCCCACAGCAGAGGGCAAAGCCTTCCGAGGGAGGAAGACTCTCCAGAAGAGGAAGAAAGGCCCTGAAGAGACAAAGCAGAGCCTGGAAACAGTACTTTTTGGGACAGCGGCCCCTGGAACCCTACAGTCATTTCGTCTAAAAACATTTAAAAACAGCGAGACTGGACATAATATTCGTAAGGAGAAATGAACGAAGAGAACCCACGGTTCCTTAACTGAAACCAAAGGAAACCGACGCCGCAGCAGACAGAAGCGCTGGAGGAGCAAAAGCACCAAAGACAAAAACTCCTTCGAGAATTCCTCACAAGCAAAGCAAGGCCTGGCGGTCCGGACGCATCTCCTCCCAATGCGCGCAACCCTGCAAGAGACTCGGGAGCGACAAGAGCGGCTGCACACAAACCTCAGCTGCCAAAAAGGGAAGAGGAACAGCAAACTTCTGCCCCAAAGCAAGAAGCCCACTGTGTTCAGGCCTGCAGGCACCGCTTGGCTTATGGAGGAAGGTCCATGCATCCTTTTCTGGGAGAGGGAGGCAGTCCCAGAGGGGCTCCTCTCCACCCCAACGCCTTCAGAGCTCTTTATTTCCCGTGGCCGTAACACAGGCATGGGCACACTTTCTAACTTGGGAACCACATGCCCGGACTCCCAGTAGGAGAACTGGATGCCCGGTGATGGATGAAGGGAAGGAAGGAAGGGAAGAGAGAAGGAAAGAAGGAGAAAGGGAGAGAGGGAAGGAAGGGAAGGAGGAAGGAAAAAGAGAAGGAAGGAAGAAAGTGAGGAGGGAAGGAAAAGGAAAGAGAGAAGGAAAGGACAAAAGGGAGAGGGAGGAAGGAGAAAGAGGAAGAAGAGGAAGGAGAAAAGGGAAGGAAGGAGAAAGGAGGAAGGGAGGAGGGAGAAGAGGGAGGAGGAAGGAAAAGGGGAGAAGAAAGGAAAGAGGAAGGAAGAAAAAGGAGGGAAGAAGAGGAAGGAAAAGGAAAAGAAGGAGAGGAGGAGAAAAGAGGGAAGGGAGGAGAAAAGAGGGGAAAGGGAAGGAGGAAGAAGAAAGGAGAGAGGGAGGGAAGAAAGGAGGAAGAAGAAAAAAAAGAAGAAAGGAGGGAAAAGAAGGATAAAAAAGAGAAGAAGGAAAAGAAAAAGGGAAGGAGAGGAGAAAGAAGGAGAGGAGGAAAGAGGGAAGGAGAAAGAGGGAGGAGGGGAGGAAGGAGGAAAGAGAAAAGGAAAGAAAGAAAAAAGGAAGAGGGGGAAAGGGGAAAAAAGGAGGAAGGAAGAAAGGATGGAAGGGAATGAGGGAGAAGGGAAGGAGAAAGGAAGGAAGAAAGGGGAAGGAAGAAGGATGAAAGAAAGAAAGGAGAAAGAGGAAAGTAGGGAGAAAAAAGGGTAGAAGGGAAGGATGGAAGTGGAAAGAGGGAGGGGAGAGGAGGGGAGGAAAGGAAGGAAGGAAGGAAGAAGGAAGGAAAGGAAGAAGGAAGGAGGAAGGAAGGAGGAGAAGGAAGAAGGAGAGGAAGGAAGGAGAAAGAAAGAGAAAGGAAGGAAGGGAAAAAGGGAGGGAGAGAGAGGAAGGAGAAAAGGAAGGAAAGGGAAAAAAAAAAAGAAGAAGAGGAAGAGAAGAAAAGAGAAGAAAGAAAAAGAAGAAAAAAAAAGAGAAGAGGAGAGGAAAGAAAGAAAAAAAGAGGGAAAGGAAGGACAAAAGGGTGGAATGGAAGGAGGGATGGAGGAAGGAAGGAAAAGGAAGGAAGAAGAGAGAAAGAGGGAGAGGAAAGGAGAAAGGGTGGAAGGGAAGGAAGGAAGGGAGGAAGAAGAGGAGGAAGGAGAAGGAAGGAAAGAGAGGAGAGAGGACAAAAGGGTGAAAGGGAAGGAGAAAGAGGGAGGGAAAGAGGAAGGAAAGAGTGAAGGAAAGGAGGATAGGATGGTGAGAGAGAGGAGGACCTGAGGAAAGAGCCCAAGGGGTCATATCAGGTCCCCGGGTCCGGATTTGCCCACATCTGCCTTAACACTAAAGCGACAGCAGCTCCACAGTCCCCTAAGCAACACCCCATTGCCTGCGACACAACAAACAGCAGCTCTCCAGAAGCAAGATGCTGGAGGGAATAGCGCCTTGTTTTCTGTTTTGTTTTAAAGCTTAATGTTAAATATTAAATACTCTCGTTTTTCTAGGCAGGCGTGGGCAAACTTTGGCCCGTCCTCCAGGTGTTTTGGATTTCAACTCTGTTAGGAATTGCGGGAGTTGAAATCCAAAACACCCGGAGGGCGGGCAAAGTTTGCCCACGCCTGTAATCTAGGCGATACATTACTTTTGTCGAGAAAGACAAAACTTCAGTGAAACGGCCCCTGTGCGTTCTCCCTCGGGCCTGACCAGACGCAGGGAGAGAGTCTCTTCAAGCATGAGGGATGTTTGCAGCAAGAGAGGAGAGGGAGCAAGCCCCTTTCCTTGTGTGTGTGTGTTTTGCCGGCCGCCCACCTTTCTCTCATGTCTCAAAGTCCCAGGGGTTCAACTCCTGAAAAGTCCGCTCGCTTTGCCCAGAGAGGGGCCTGTGGCTGGAGGCACTTCGCCCAAAGGACCCCCCTGGAGAGAGACCCTCACCCACCCCCACCCCCCTTTGAAATCCCATTCTCCTGAGAGAAGCGGGAGCCAAGGACGGCAACGGCTGCGGCCCACTTTGCAGTCTCTCTTGTTTAAAAAATGTCAAAGAGTCTTCTTTTGATTCGAGTCACGAAGTCCCCCGCTAAAAGCACTTGGGAAGCCGGTGCCAAAGCCTTAGTGAGGTCCTCAGAGGAGCGAGTCGTCGGTGCATCCTCCTTCGAGTCCGTAGCGGAATTCCTGCAGGTTGGAGACGCCGTAGAAGTGGACGAAGGCGGCCGCCACCACCAGGACGTGGAAGATCTGGTGCGACTGGAACTGCGGGGAGGAAAGACATGGCATTAAAGGCGAGGGAAACAGAGACGTCCAGTCGACCACAAGCAAAAGCGTAACCAAAACAGGCATTCTTGGAAGATAAGCCCTCTGAGGAGCACCTTATAGGGAAGTAGTTCTCAACCTTCCTAATGCCACGACCCCTTAATCTAGTTCCTTATGTCGTGGTGACCCCCAACCATAACATTCTTTTTGTTGCTAATTCATACCTGTATTTTTGCTACTGTTATGAATTGTAGGAATCCAAGTGTTACCCATCCTTTATCGAGTCCAACATTAGGCTGGAGTACATAATAACTACTTCTCTGGGCCAGAGTGAAGAGAGAGGAGGGCCAGGGGACAGTTCCATCTTGTCTCCTGTGCTATGCTAATCTTCTATATAAATAAAAATGTAATGCTCGTTGGTGGGATTAACAGAACTCAAAAACCACTGGGGGAATTGACACCAAATTTGGACACAGTACACCTATCAGGCCAAGGAGTGACCATCACTCATAAAAACACTGGAAAAAAAACAGCAGAGGGGACTTAAAAAGCCCCAAAAAGCTAAATGATGAAAAGCTAAACGACAATACAGAAAAAAGGGAAGAAAGAGGGAGGGAAGGGGAGAAAAAAAGAAAGAAAGAAAGAAAGAAAGAAAGAAAGAAAGAAAGAAAGAAAGAAAGAAAGAGGGAGGGAGGGAAAGAAAGAAGGAAAGGGAGAAGGAAGCATGGAAGCAAAGAGAGAAGGAAGGAAGGAAAGAGGTAGAGAAGGAAGAAAGGAGAGAAAGAGGGAGGGAAAGAAAAAGGGGAAGGAAGGAAAGTTAGAGAAGGAAGGAAGAGAAAGAAAGAAAAAAGGGAAAGAAGGAAGGAAAGAGGGAGCGAAGGAAGGGGGAAGATGTAGAGAAAGAGGGAGGGAAGGAAAGAGAGAAGGAAGAAAAGAGAGACAGCAGAAGAGAAAGAAAAAGGGGGAAGGAAGGAAAGAGAGAGAAGGAAGGAAGAAGAGAAGGAAAGATGGGAAGGAAGGAAGGAAGGAAGGAAGGAAGGAAGGAAGGAGAGAAGGAGAGAAAGAGGGAAGGTTGGCCACAGCAACGCATGGCGGGTACAGCTAGTCTATATAAATAAAAATGTAATGTTCATTTGTGGGATTAACAGAACTCAAAAACCAGTGAGCGAATTGACACCAAATTTGGACACAAGACACCTTAACATGTCCTTCACTCAAAATTTTTTGATTTTGTCATTTGGGAGTTGTAGTCCTTGGAATTTATAGTTCAGCTACAACCAAAGAGCATTCTGAACTCCACCAATGATGGAATTGAACCAAAGGTGACATACAGGAGTCCCATGACCAATAGAAAACACTAAAAGGGTTTGGTGAGCATTGACCTTGAGTTTGGGAGTTGTAGTTCATCTATATCCAGAGATCACTGTGGACTCAAACAATGATGGATCTGGACAAAACTTGGCACGAATACTCAATATGCCCAAATGTGAACACTGGTGGAGTTTGGGGGAAATAGAATCTTGACATTTGGGAGGAAAGAAGAAGGATACAAGAAAAGAAGAAGTGATGAAGAGAGGGGGGGGGGGAGAAAGAAAAAGAAGGGAACAGAAAAGAAGGAAGAGGACAGCAAGAAAGAAGGGATGAAGGGAGAGGAAGAAGAAATAAAAACAAAGGCAGAGAAAGGAAGGAAGGAAAGAAAAGCACAGGAAGAAAGAAGTGATAAAAGGTGAAAGGGAAGAAAGAAAAAGAAGGGAAGATAAACGAAAGGATGGGAAGAAAGAAGTGATGAAGGGAGAGAGGAAAGAAAGTAAAATAAAGGAAGAGAAATGAAGGAAGGAAAGGGACAGGACAGGAAGAAGTGATGAAAGGAGAGAGGGAAGAAGGAAGGAGAAGGAGAAGGGAGAGAGAGAAAGAAAAGAAGGAGAGAAACAGAAAGAACAGGAAGAAGAAGTGAGAAAGGAAGGGAAGAATGAAAGAAGGGAAGATAAATGAAAGGACAGGAAGAAAGAAGTTATGAAGGAAGAGAGAGAAGAAATAAAAACAAAGGCAGAGAAATGAAGGAAGGAAAAGGACAGGACAGAAAGCAGTGATGAAGGGAGAGAGGGAAGAAAGAAAGAGAAGGGAAGAGAAAAGAAGGAAGAGGACAGCAAGAAAAAGTGATGAAGGGAGAGGAGGGAGAAATAAAAACAAAAGGCAGAGAAATGAAGGAAGGGGAAGGACAGGACAGGTAGAAGTGATGAAAGTAGAGAGGGAAGAAAGAAAGAGAAGGGAAATAAATGACAGGAGGAAGAAAGAAGTGATGAAGGGAGAGAGGGAAGAAAGAAAAAGAAGGAAAGAAAAAAGAAGGAAGAGGACAGCAAGAAAGGAAGGATGAAGGAAGAAGATGGAGAAATAAAAACAAAGGCAGAGAAATGAAGGAAGGAAAGGGCAGGACAGGAAGAAGTGATGAAAAGTGAGAGGGAAGAAAGAAAAAGAAGGGAAGAGAAACAGGAAAGGACAGGAAGAAAGAATAAGAAGGGAAGAGAAGGAAGAACGAAAAAGAACGGAAGATAAATGAAAGGACAGGAAGAAAGAAGTTATGAAGGAAGAGAGAGAAGAAATAAAAACAAAGGCAGAGAAATGAAGGAAGGAAAAGGACAGGACAGAAAGCAGTGATGAAGGGAGAGAGGGAAGAAAGAAAAAGAAGGGAAGAGAAAAGAAGGAAGAGGACAGCAAGAAAGAAAGGATGAAGGGAGAGGAGGGAGAAATAAAAACAAAAGGAAGAGAAATGAAGGAAGGGGAAGGACAGGACAGGAAGAAGTGATGAAAGGAGAGAGGGAAGAAAGAAAGAGAAGGGAAATAAATGAAAGGACGAGAAGAAAGAAGTGATAAAGGGAGAGAGGGAAGAAAGAAGAAGAAGGGAACTAGAACCAATGATTTGTGTTGACGCAGAAGGCCAGGCTTACCCAGATGTCAAACTTTCCAGGGAAGAAGCGCTCGGGGATGCGGGCGGCGTAGAGTCCCGCCCCGGTGATGTACATCACGGCCATGAGGAAGAACCAGCCCATCTGGCCCACAGTGGTGGCCTTGACAAAACCTTCTGCGATGGTGAAGTGCATGGTGGGCACCACGCCGCTCAAGCCCAGGCCCAGGAAGACCCCTGCGGAGGAGGAGGAAGGACACAGGGAGAGATTGGTCTGTACTCGGAAGGCAAACAGGGCTTTCAGAAGGAGAGGAGAGCATCTCAAAAGACAAGAAGGAAAAGCTACATGTGCCCTCTCTACCCCACTTTTGCAACCCTTGAAATCCAAAACATCTCTTAACAAAATTCACTTCCAATTTCTTCCTCCAAGTGTGAGAAAAAAAAAAATGCAAACATCCCATTCAACCCTGAAGACATCTCATTTCTTCATGATTCTTCTCTAAATGGTAATTAGAAATGATGCAATGTTGCTTCGGGTTTCCATTCTGAGAATGAATTCTAATATGTTTTTATGGATTTTAACGTAATTCTTTTTAATACTAATTATGTTTAATTCTGTTTTAATATTTCTGTAAGTTGTATTGAGATGCTTTTAGTGTAAGCTGCTTTGAGACTCCTTGTGGAGAGAAAAAGCAGGATATAAATAAATGTAAACATAATAATAATAATAATGTGTTGCAATCCTGGGTGTAGCGAATGTGTTGATCTATGTTAAATTTTTGTTGTATAGCTCTATGTTGCAATGTGGCAGAATTGGCAGAAATAGGGTAGCAACAGTAGAGGCAAGATAAATTTGCATATGTGCAGCCGATTGGTCATATGCAGATGAGTAAAGGCCAGGATTTGAAAGGGCCACTGAGCCAGAATGGCAGTTGGGGAGAAGAGAGCTGAACATTCCAAAGGGGCGGAGTTAAGTTTAAAAATAGGCAGTTAGAGAGTCAGAAAAAGTCAGTTAGGGATTCCTGTTTGTGAAGGACAGTTAGGAACTTCTGTGAGAGAAAAGCGGTTAGGAAAATGGAGCTTAAGTTTTAAGGAAAATAAAGAAGTGCCAGTGTGGTTTAAGGCGGAATATAGTTCTGTCAAGAGTGTATGAAAAAGTAACATAGTTGTTGATGTGAAACAGTTGAAGTTTGATAGGAAAGTTAACTAAGTGAATGATATTGAATGTAAGACTCAAGACTGTAACAGAACAAACAAATGTAACCATAAGCGTTGGAGCCAGAAGCTATAACTAAACTCTGTTACTTTGTTTACTACAAGAGTGTCTCAAGCCTGTAACATAAAAGCCTCAACGTAAAAGCTCACAAGACAGCCCCAGCCAATTTAAAAAGGGGAAAATACATCAATATAAGGCAGTAAAAAGATTTAAAAAATATTTTTCCCCTCACATCATCACATATAAAAAGACACCTCTAAAAGGACTGAAGCAGTGAAAAGTCGTACCACTGGGCAACAGCAAATTTGACGAGCAGCAACTGGAAAAGCTGACACGATATGAGGATTTAAAGATCGAACTGCAAAGACTCTAGCACAAGACAGTAAAGATGGTCCTGGTGGTGATCGGCACACTGGGTGCAGTACCTAAAGACCTTTGCCTGCACTTAAAAACAATTGGCGCTGACAAAATCACCACCTGTCAGCTGCAAAAGGCCATCCTACTTGGATATGTTCACATTATTTGCTCATACATCACACAGTCCTAGACACTTGGGAAGTGCCTGATGTGTGATCCAATACAAAAGCCGGTATAGTGACCTTGTTTGCTGTGTACTCATCTTGTTGTGTATGAAATGATAATAATGAAAGCCTGAGATATTCTTGTGGAGCCTGGCCCCGGTATCATTTTCTTCCTTTGCCCTATTTTGAAAATTGCAAGCAAAACGTTTTTGGCCATCCCTTTTAAAGCAATGCTTTGCGTCTTCTTGTTAAGGGAAAAGCAGGGTATAAATAAACATAATAATAATAATAATAATAATAATAATAATAATAATAATAATGCTTATTCCAGAGGAGCCGAAGCCCTTAGTGCCTCCAAGGATGTTGCCAAAAGAATCCCAGCCTCTGAGTGAGTGGCTAGGCATTGAAGGCCACAATGCGTCCCTTGACCCTCCCTTACCTGCCCTGGTCTGCCGGTGCTTGGGAGTTGCGAAGCGGTCCCATTGGGCGACAATGATTGCTGAGATGCCCAGCACACACACGATGGAGAGGTAGATGAGTCGGGGCTGCGGAGAGCAGTAGAAGGAGTAGTACAGCCAGGGCACAAAGCTCCCCATGATCAGCAGGGCGATCCCAGAGTAATCCAACCTAGGAAAGAAAAGGAAGGAAGGAAGGAAGGAAGGAAGGAAGGAAGGAAGGAAGGAAGGAAGGAAGGAAGGAAGGAAGGGAAAGGGGAAAGGTATGAGGGGAGGAGAAGGAAGGAGGGAATGAAAGAAAGAGAAAGAAAAAGAACAACATGTGCGTATGTTTGTAACTAAGCGTTTACTAGGTGAAGTGGCCCTCTGTGATATTACTGGGAAAGAAAGATGGCATGTGTGTGAGGGAAAGGTGTGTGTATGTTTGTAGCAAAGTGGTTACTATGTGAAGTGGCCCTCTGTGATGTCACTGAGAAAGAAATATGGCATGTGTGTGAGGGAAAGGAAGGGAGAGAAGGAAGGAGAAAGGGAGGAAGGAAGGAGGAGGAAAGGAGAAGGAAAAAGAGAGGGAGGGAAGGAGGAAGAGAAGAAGAAAGGAAAGCGAGAAGGAAGGAAAGACAAAAGGAAGAAGAAAGGAGGAGAGAGGAAAAGAGGGAAGGAAGGATGAAAAGGGTGAAAGGGAAGGATGGAAGGGAAAGAGGGAGAGAGGAGGAAGGAAGGATGGAAGGGAAGGATGGAAGAAGGAAAATAGAGAAAGAAGAAAGGAGGAAAGAAGGATAAAAGAAAGAGAAGGACGGAAACACAAAAGGGAAGGAAGGAAGTAGAAAGAGGGAGAGAAGAGGGAAGGAATATTGAAAGGGTGGAAGGGAAGGATGGAAAGAGAAAGAGGGAGAGGAGGAAAGAGGAAGGAAGAAAGGGTGGAAGGGAAGGGGAAGGAGAAAAGGGAGGGAGAGGGGAAGGAGGGGGAAGGAAAGACAAGGAAAGAAAGATAAAAGGTAGGGAAGGAAGGAAGGACAAAAGGGTGGAAGGGAAGGTTGGAAGGTGAAAGAGGGAGAGAGGGAGGGAAGGAAGGATGGAAGCAAGGAAAAAAAGAGAAGGAAGAAATGGAGGAAAAGAAGGATAAAAGAAAGAGAAGGAAGGAAGGAAAGACAGAGCTCAGTTTGACTGAAACGACCAGATAGTCTAAATCAGGCATGGGCCAACTTGGACCCTCCCTCCAGGTATTTTGGACTTCCATAAATCTGGAAGTTGTGGGAGTTGAAGTCCGAAACACCTGGAGGGTGAGGGGACCAAGTTTGCCCGTGACTGGTCTCAACACATTTGCCAGATACAGAATGCTGAGGAACAAGAGATCGCCTGAGAGAAACAATCTTCGGAGGGAGGAAGGGCTCCTTCTGGTCAGACCTGTTTCACGCAAACGAAAATCTTACTTGGAAAACGTCCGTGAAACCTTTTCCGAGTGACAGTAGACTGTATGGAAAAGCCAGGAGAAGCTGAGGCACAGCACCGCTCCGAGGAAAAACATCCCAAAGACCACCTTTTCCTGCAACGGGGCCATGAAGTACATGTTGGGCCGCAGCATGGTCAGGATCCCCAACCCCAGGAAGAGCACAAAGCCTGCCGAGAGAGAGAGAGAGAGAGAGATGTATTAGCATGTTTTAGTGTTAGGAAGGCATAAAGCAGTGGTTCTCAACCTTCCTAATGCCGCGACCCCTTAGTACAGGTCCTCATGTTGTGGTGATATTGTTTTCGTTGCTACTTCACAACTGTAATTTTGCTCCTGTTATGAATGGTAATCTAAATATCTGATATGCAGGATGTATTTTCAGTCACTGGACCAAATTTGGCACAAATACCCAATACTCCCAAATTTGAATACTGGTGAGGTTGGGGGTGATTGATTTGGTCATTTGGTAATGCTGGAGTTGCTGGGATTTATAGTTCACCTAAATTCAAAGAGCCTTCTGAACTCCACCAATGATGGAATTGAATCAAACTGGGCACACAGAATTCCCATGACTAAGAGAAAATACTGGGAAGGTCATTGACCTTGAGTTTTTTGGAGTTGTAGTTCACCTACATCCAGAGAACACTGTGGACTCAAACAATGATGGATCTGGACCAAACTTGGCACAAATACTCAATATGCCCAAATGTGAACACTGATGGGGTTGGGGAAAATAGACTTTGACATTTGGGAGTTGTACTTGCTGGGATTTATAGTTCACCCACAATAAAATAGCATTCTGAACCCCACCAATGATAGAATTGGACCAAACTTTCCACACAGAACCCCCATGACCAACAGAAAATACTATGTTTTCTGATGGTCTTTGGCGACCCCTCTGACACCTCCTTGCGACCCCCAGGTTGAGAAACACTGGCATAAAGGAATCTGGAAGCACCTCTCAGGCTGACTTAAAAATTGTAGCACAAGCTTTTGAGGACTCCAGAAACGCCTCTAAATGGACGGAGAAATGCACTTCCCAATTGGCGGAGTGCTGTGTGCTACGCTGACCAAATCCTCATTGTTGACATGGCTTCAGGGAAGTGTCTTGGAGATATTCCGCTCTCTTGGCCCCATAAGCTCCCCTCATTCTCTCAAGGTCCTGGAAAATATTTTGTCACTTCCCTCATATGGACACAACCAGACGTCTAGGCTGACATTTAAACATGCAAAACCCCCAAGGGATCCCCCCGCTCCACTAAATTTCAGAATACAGAGAATGTTTTGCAACAAAGCTGCTCTGCCTGCCAGCCTTCCAAAGCTCTCTTGCAGAGAAACCATGTCTTCACGGAAAAGGTTAAGAATCTCTGAATGTTTGGTTGAGGGCTGCTGCAAAGCCAAGGGCTCATAGCCTTCTGATTAATAGGCCCTCTGATATTATATGTCATCGATGGCTTCAAACTACAAGAAAGGAGATTCCACCTGAACATGAGAAAGAACTTCCTAACTTCCTAAAATTACAACAGCAAAACAACAGAGGAAAAACAACCAGGGACATCTAATCACCTCTCAACAAAAGATTGCCCCAGGCACTGCCAGGCCATCAAATGCTAATCAAGGTGGTCAGCTGAAACATTCACACCTAGCTCCAGCAGACAAGAGTCCTTTGTCCCACCCTGGTCATTCCACAGATATTTGTTGTTCATTCATTCAGTCGTCTCCAAATCTTCGTGACCTCATGGACCAGCCCACGCCAGAGCTCCCTGTCGGCCGTCACCACCCCCAGCTCCTTCAAGGTCAGTCCAGTCACTTCAAGGATGCCATCCATCCATCTTGCCCTTGGTCGGCCCCTCCTCCACAGATATAGAAACCCATTTTCCTAGTTCCAACAAACCTCACTACCTCTGAGGATGCTTGCCATAGATGCAGGCGAAACGTCAGGAGAGAATGCCTCTAGAACATGGCCATATAGCCCAAAAAAACCTACAACAACCCAACTTCCTGTGTGAGAGAGCTGTTCAGCAGTGGAACTCTCTGCCCCAGAGTGTGATAGAGGCTGCTTCTTTGGAGGCTTTTAAACAGAGGCTGGATGGCCATCTCTTGGGAGTGGTTTGAATGCAATTTTCCTGCTTCTTGGCCAAATGGGGTTGGACGGGATGGCCCACCAGGTCTCTTCCAACTCACGGATTTTATGATCCCCTCCTAAACTGCCATCTTATCCACAAGTTCAGCTGGAAATGCCCATGAGCTATCCTTGTCAATTGTGCTTAATATTTCACCCCCAGTTTGGATGTGGGTTTACTTCATAAATCTTATACTATTCTGACTAAGTGATTGTCACAATAAAATAAATATAAAATAAAGTAAGTGTTGTCTTTAACCATTTTTTATTATTTCAGCTTAGCTGATATGAATGCCACCCTGACATCCTATTTCAATAAATAACTTATAAGCCATCTGATAAATATCACCGCAGTGTCAGGACATACCAAGAGAGACAGGAAAATAGCTCAGAAGCAGCAGCAATATTAGATCTGAACTCTGCCGTGTTCCCAGGTCGGTCTGAAGTGCAATGAGATTGTCTTGCTGCCTGTGCTGGAGGAGGCCAGGTCAGGTCATATTTCTGAGTCCTTTAGGACACACATGGCCTTACACAACTCCTGAAGTTGGATTTGGCCACGGTGGTCCACGCCTTAGTTACCTCTAGATTGGACTACTGCAATGCTCTTTACATGGGGCTGCTCTTGAAGATGGCCCAGAAACTTCAATTGGTCGAATGAGCGGCAGCCAGATTATTAACTGGTGCGAATTACAGAGAGTGGTCAACTCTCCTGTTTAAGGAGCTCTACTGGCTGCCATGTTTTCCGGGCCCAATTCAAGGTGCAGGTCTTGACCTACAAAGCCCTTAACCCTCCTACATGCACGACCGTATTTTGGACCCTCCTACCTGCGCGACCGTATCACCATCTACGAACCTACGCGATCTCTTCGATCTCCCGGAGAGGCTCTTCTCTCGCTCCCACCCACATTGCAAGTGCGACTTGCAGGGAAGAGAGAGAGGGCCTTCTCTGTGGTGGCCCCCCGGCTCTGGAACTCACTCCCCAGAGATATTAGGCAAGCCCCACGCTAGCAATCTTCAGGAGGAATTTGAAAACCTGGCTATTCCAATGTGCCTTCAGTGACTGAATGTAAGAAACTCCCTGGCCAAATTTTTGCACTAAATGTCCTTAGAAGCACTTTTTATTTATGGTTTGTGCAATTGAACCCTCCTTCATTCTTGGATCCTCATCCTGATAATTTACATTGTCCTATCTTTCTGTGTTTTTAAAATTTTAGCTTTGAATGTGGCCCTGCCCAGTGAAATTCTCTGCTTTTAATTGCTTGTTTTATATTGTCTGTGTAGTTTATTTTATTTCTTTGCATTTTATGTATATTATTTCTGGTATTGTCATGTGTTTTATTATAATGTATGTACTGTACTGATGGGCGTCCCCCTGGGGGAGATGGAGTGGGGTATAAATAAAGTTTATTATTATTATTATTATTATTAGTAGTAGTAGTAGTAGTATTAAGAGCAACGTTTATTGATTAGTCAACTGACCGTATCAACATTAAAAAACAAAAACAGATTATTATTATTATTATTATTATTATTATTATTATTATTATTATTATGATGTCAGGGGTATTTTGATTGTGCATTTCCTGCATGGCAGGGGGTTGGACTGGATGGCTCATTTGGTCTCTTCCAACTCTATTACAGTATTCCCTCACTTATTCCGGGTGATCCGTTCAAGGACCAGCCGCGATAAGTGAAAATCCGTGAAGTAAGAATGCTCTGTCCACTCGGCAATGGCCTCTTCGCCAAGTCTGCTTCTTGCCGCCTTGGAGGCCCTTGGGCGCTGTTGATGGCACTGCCAGGCTGGGTGTTGTGGCTCCCTTTGAGCCTGAGCTTTCTGAGCCTGAGTTTCCTCAGGACGAGGAAGATGATGGGTTACAGATTTCTGAACATGTCCCTGTTATTAAGCCAGACAGTGTTGATTCTGAAGAAGAGACAGCATTTCTGTTTCCCAGAGAAAGGAATGTTGTTTTAGATGAAGATAGTGAAACTTCACAGTTGCAGGTGGAGGAGTCGGTCCCATCTGGGAGTTCAGTGCCTCTCTGTTCCCAGGGTGACCAGTCCCAGGATAATGAGGTATCCAGCTTTGAAGATGGTGGAGATTTGATTAAGGAGGACCATTTGCAACTAAAGATACGGCGAAGTGCTCGGCTTGCCAACAAACGCGAAGTTCGAGGTCAACGTAATGCTTTCATGCTAGGGAAACATATTTAACAATCTGATTGAAGTCAATCCTTTGTCAGCGCAATGTTGCTTACACCCTGTTAACTTCTTTGGAATTACCTTGGCTTTTCGGAAAATCTTTTAGCTCTTTGGGACTTTGGTTTTGATCTTGGTTTTTGGGGACCTTGTCATGCTGCCATGGACTCTTGTTTAACCAATGCTAAAGGACTTTTGTAAAGTACTTTGGCCACATCATGAGGAGACAGGAAAGCCTAGAGAAGACAATTATGCTGGGGAAAGTGGAAGGCAAAAGGAAGAGGGGCCGACCAAGGGCAAGATGGATGGATGGCATCCTTGAAGTGACTGGACTGACCTTGAGGGAGCTGGGGGTGGTAACGGCCGACAGGGAGCTCTGGCGTAGGCTGGTCCATGAGGTCACGAAGAGTCGGAGACGACTGAACGAATGAACAACAACAACAAAGGATTATACTTCATGTTATTTGCCTTTGGATCTTGGAAACTTTGCCTTTGCATTTAAGACTGTTTTGGCTATTGAACTTTTGCAACTGTATTTCTATGTTTTTTATTTTGTTTTTTCTTCAATAAACTACAAAACCTACAGCCTTGGTATGTGGTGGTGTCTTGAGCAAGGTGAATCTATCCTGAGTTGCGACACTGGGCTGAGGCCTCAGCCCAGCCTGGCAGTGCCATCAATGGCGCCTAAGGGGCCTCCAAGGCAGCGAGCAGCAGACTCGGCGAAGAGGATAAGGTCACTGCCGAGTGGGTGGAGACAAGCCTCAGGGTAAAGCCTAGTGCCTGGTTCTCCCTCCCATCCTCCTCTTCCCCCCCATAGCTCCCACACGCTTATTTCAGACCCACGAAACAGCAAGTCTGCAATAAGCGAAATGCGATATAGCAAGGGAACACTGTATTCTTTGAGTCCCTGACTAGGTATATGGAACTGGGATAGCAGAGTTTCCCCAACTCCAGGCATCTTCCCAATCAGGCCACAGACGTCTAGTCGGTCACTTATGTAAAATATTTATGCCTCACTTGACAAAGGCTTGGCAAAGCGTCTTCTGACCCTTGTAACCGATGTAATAAAAACCCAGGGGGACCAGAGCCAAGGGAACAGAACAGACGTGAGTTTATTAACAACTAAACCAACAAAGGAGCGGGAGAAACACTGCCCAGGGCATAGGCTCCCCAAATGCAAACAGTATTTCTGACGTATTGTCGAAGGCTTTCATGGCTGGAATCACTGGGCTGTAGGTTTTTTGGGCTATATGGCCATTTTCTAGAAGCATTCTCTCCTGACGTTTTGCCTTCATCTATGGCAAGCATCCTCAGAGTTGTGAGGTCCTCAGAGGTTGTGAGATTCTCAGCGTTTGTGACCTCACAACCTCTGAGGATGCCTGCCATAGATGCAGGCGAAACATCAGGAGAGAATGCTCCTGAAACATGGCCATATAAGGCCCAGGGGCCAGATAAGGCCCTCCAAGGTCATTTACCCGGTCCTCGCTCAGGGTCAACCTAAGTCTGAAACGACTTGAAAGCACACAACAAACACAACAATCCTATCTCATCAGCCAAAAGCAGGCCCACACTTCCCATTGAAATACTAATAACTTTATATTTGTTAAAATTGTTCTTCATTTTAATTATTGTATTGTTTTAAGTGTTTTTGCACTACAAATAAGATATGTGCAGTGTGCATAGGAATTCATTCATATTTTTTTCAAATTATAATCCGGCCCTCCAACAGTTTGAGGGACTGTGACCTGGCCCTCTGTTTAAATAGTTTGAGGACCCCTGTTCTAGAAGCATTCTCTCTTGACGTTTCGCCTGCATCTATGGCAAGCATCCTCAGAGGTTGTGAGATCCTCAGATGTTGTGACCTCACTACCTCTGAGGGAGGATGTTTGCCATAGATGCAGGCGAAACATCAGGAGATAATGCTTCTAGAACATGGCCATATAGCCCAAAAAACCTACAACAACCCAGTATTTCTCACGATCCTAATAAAAGGGACCAACTGAGACTTGGGTCTTCCTAATTCAAAAAGAGCTGCTTCATTAGATTCCTGGCAAAGTCATCCATTAAGGCAGATCTGGACCAACTTTGGTCCTCCCAATTTCCACAATTCAACTTCCACAATTCCTAACAGCAGGTGGACCCTGCCTGCAATTAAGGCATTCAAGTCTGTCTCAGTCCCAAAACCGAACCCAAACTAAAAAGGATCTGAATCATTGTCATCATCTTGGAAGATTTTGCAAACAAGAGCTGGCACAGTTAAGCAGATTAAACCGTAGCTATTGCATGCTCCTTATTAAAGTATGCACAAGGCAACACAACCACAGCTGAAGCTGTGGAGATACACAAACCAGTAAAAATGCGAGCTGGAAGCCTTCCAATCTTTCTAACTCATACGAGACAACATTTGCTTTATTTTATTGACTTTCTTACGTCAAATGTGAGAGTCCTTAAATCAGAATGGTACAAAGGCTTCTGAAATAAAACTAAAGTAAATAGAGAAGCAATTTTTTCATGTGCTCTTCAGCAATAATTTTGAAATCCAGCAAAAGAATGCTCTGAAAATGGAGAGGAAATTAGGTATCTGTGCAAAAGCTTTGGAAAAACACAGGGATTCCATTCTTATGCCTGCGCCCAGTTACGTATTTTCTCTTCATCAAAACAGTCTTTCTTATGAGGTACAGAAAGGTTCGAGATCTCTGCACCAAGACTAAATTTATTTATTTATTTATTTAGCAATTTTGTATACCGGTCTTCTCCCCTCTATCGGGGGACTCAGGCCGGTTTCCAACAATAAAATCACAAAACAATAATTAAAAACATCATATAACATATTCAATTTAAAACGTTATAACAGCAAAATGCAATCACATAAACACGCCTCTTTTCTCAATAGGTGGTTTTATCATTCCCAGGGAAGTTCACAAAAAACAATAAACTCAGGGGAAAAGGGTGCAAACATGGAGCAAAAACTACTTTTTTGTTTAAGATTTTCCCTCTATGCCAACAGCAGAAGTGAACAAGGAGTGAAACACCAGGTGTTTGAATCTATTCATCTAATTCAGAAAATTGCATTGGATAGACCACATCAGCTCTAGATAATTAAATATGGTTTTCTATAGGTGAGCAGATGGCAACTACTGGGTGGCAGATGTTCTGTATCAGAAACTAGAGCTGATGTGACTTATCCAATGCAGTTTTCTGAATCAGCACCCCAAATAACCAAACCGAATCTAAAGTTGGCCAAAAACTAATTCGTAACCCTTTTTGGTACTAATGTTGGAGAGTTGTCCCTGGTCGAAGTGGTCCCTGGTTTTCTGTGGGGAGCTGATGGCGACTACTGAGTGGCAGATGTTCTGCATCAGAAACTAGAGTTGATGTGGTCAGTCCAACGCAATTTTCTGAATCAGCAACCCAAATCACCAAACCGAATCTAAAGTTGACCAAAAACTAATTCGTAACCCTTTTTGGTACTAACGTTGGAGAGTCGTTCCTGGACAAAGTGGGCCCTGGTTTTCTGTGGGGAGCTGATGGTGACTACTGGGTGGCAGATGTTCTGTATCAGAAGCTAGAGCTGATGTGGTCTAACCAAACCCAATCTAAAGTTGACCAAAAACCGTTTTGTTACCCTTTTGGTACTAATGTTGGAGAGTGGTCCCTGGTCAAAAAAAAAAAAAAAAAAAAAGGTTGGGAACCACTGCCCAAGGGGGTTTCCATGACTGAGGGCCCTTCCATACAGCCACATAACCTAGAATATCAAGACAGAAAATCTCACAATATTTGTATTGAAGTGCTCTATCTGAGTCCACACTGCCATATATTTCAGTTCAAAGCAAAAAATGTGGGATTTTGTTCATCTGTGTTGAAGGGGCCTGAGTGGAAAACTGAACCTTGGTTTCCAAAGTCTTAGTCTACCAGGCATAGGCGAACTTTGGCCCTCCCTTGGGGTGTTTTGGATTTCCAACTCCCCCAATGCCTCCAAAAGGAATGAAGGAAGGAAAACCCACCGGGGGAATTAAAAAGCTCCAGGCTGCTTTGCATACCAGCCAGAGGCTGAATTACCTAGCAAGTGTGTCCAGATGTTGCCTGTCTCGGTGTGGATGCGGAAGATGCTCTTGAAGCAGGCTCTGAAGGAGGGCATGGGGGGCCGGTGTCCGTGGAGCAGGTAGTCGTTATCCTTCAGCCAGTCGGGCAGCACGTCGTACGGGATGACCCTCCAGCGGCCTTCCCAGACCTGCAAAGACACCAAAATGGGCAGGAGTCCATGAGCCAGTGGGTCCTGGGAACCGGGCAACGAGGCTGCAGCCACCTGACAAAACTGCACAAAGAGCCAAGCCCTTTTTCGCCTAGTACAGACAAACCTGAATCAGTTCAGCCTGTGACATACTGCACGGACGCTTCTACATCTCAGACAACCAGAAAAAAGGTGGAGCCACAAAGCCTCTGTGATTCTCCTTGGCACAGATTCTTCCACAGCCTCAAAGTCTTTGTGGCAGGCTGTGCCTCAGGAGTGACCACCACAGGCTGCAACTGAGAAGTGGTCAGCCACAAGAGCAGAGATCTTGTCTAAAAAGTGCCAACTAAAACTCCTCTTGTCTAAAAAGTGCCAACTGAAAAGTGCAATAAGTGAAATCTGAAACGTAAAAGACCTATTTGGATGGAACGGATGTGCAAAGAGAATTGAGAATTTCCTCTTTCAAACCTAGAATTCGTGACCACATTTCTGTGTACCAACCCACGCGATCTCTTCGATCGTCTAGAGAGGTCCTGCTCTCACTCCTGCCCCCTTTGCAGACACGATTAGTGGGGACGAGGGAGAGGGCCTTCTCTGTGGTGGCCCCCCGACTCTGGACTCACTCCCCAAGGATATCAGACAAGCCCCCACATTGGCAGTCTTTAAGAGGAGCCTGAAAATGTGGCTGTTCCAGTGTGCCTTCCCTGAATAAAGGAAACAATGCCCTGCTCTGATTTAATTCTCTGCAATTGTCCTCAGAAGAACTTTACTACCCGTTGGCTTGGTCTCCCTACATTATCTTTTAAAACCCTCCTGCTTAGATACATCCTACCTCTGTTTACAGCCAGTGTTTATTCTAAAAAAATTAATTTATTACATCTGGCCGGTCATAAGGTTTTAAATTCTCTGTGTTATTGTTTATATGTGAGTTATATGTGTTGTGGATTCTGGCTTTTGTAACTTGTCTTTTATGTGTACTGTACACCGCCATGAGTCGCTGAGAATGGCGGTTAATAAGTGCATCAAATAAATAAATAAATAATATATCAATTGTACTGTTTTATTTGCTTGCTGTTTTGTTGTTTACTGATGTGTTGTTGGGCTTTGCCTCAAGTAAGCCGCCCCGAGTAACCCTTGGGGAGATGGTGGCGGGGTATAAATAAAGTTGTATTATTATTACTATTATTATTACTATTATTATTATTACTAGCCGTCCCCTGCCACACGTTGGTGTGGCCCAGTCTGGTGATCTGGAAAATAAAGTAATAAGAAAGTGTTGGATTCTAATATAAGTAATGTCTTTCTGCTTGTGGGTAAACAGTATTTCTTGTTGTTTCTTTGTCAGTGTTGATGTGGAGAGTGTCTGGTTTGCCTACTCTGGAACATGCAACGTATAATTGTCCTTTAGGGGTCTATGATACTATATCTGTGTGTGAGAATCTTATCTATCTATCTATCTATCTATCTATCTATCTATCTATCTATCTATCTATCTATCTATATCTATGGCTTGATGGCTCTTTGTCAGGAGGGCGTTGATTACGTTTTCTTGCCCTGGTAAAGAGAGTTGGACTGGATGGCCTTAAGTATTTTCTGTTGGTCATGGGGGTTCTGTGTGGGAAATTTGCCCCAATTCTTTCGTTTGTGGGATTCAGAATGCTCTCTGATTGTAGGTGAACTCTCAAATATCAAGGTCTATTTTCCCCCAAACTCCATCTGTGTTCATATTTGGGCATATGGAATATTTTTGCCAAGTTTGGTCCAGATCCATCATTGTTTGAGTCCACAGTGCTCTCTGGATGTAGGTGAACTACAACTCCCAAACTCAAGGTCAATGCCCACCAAACCCTTCTAGTGTTTTCTGTTGGTCATGGGAGTCCTGTGTGCCACGTTTGGTTCAATGCCATAATTGGTGGAGTTCAGAATGCTATTTGATTGTAAGTGAACTATAAATCCCAGCAACTTCAACTCCTAAATGACAAAATCAAAAAAAAAAAATTGAGTGAAGGGCATACATTGGGTTGTTAGGTGTCTTGTGTCCAAATTTGGTGTCAATTAGTCCAGCGGTTTTTGAGTTCTGTTAATCCCACAAACAAACATGACATTTTTATTTATATAGATTATTGAAGCTTCCCCATCTCTTCAAAAAGTCACAAAAGGCCTTGGCCAGAGCACTGGGCTTCTTCTGCCTCTTGACTGTCTCACACTCTATTTCTGACATAACACCAAACTCAAAACAAGATGGAGGCGCATCCAAAAGCTCTGTTATTAATAACAACAGCAACATCAACAACATTGTCTAGCCCAGTGGTTCTCAACCTGTGGGTCCCCAGATGTTTTGGCCTTCAACTCCCAGAAATCCTAACAGCTGGTAAACTGGCTGGGATTTCTGGGAGTTGTAGGCCAAAACACCTGGGGACCCACAGGTTGAGAACCACTGGTCTAGCCTCTGAACATGAAAGAGGAAACAGCCCAGAGCACCACAGTGGTTTGAAGGCAGAGGCAGTTTACCTTATAGACAAACTCTTCCATCTTCTCCATGGCGTGGTGGGCCTGCAGGGGAAGCGTCAGCACCCGCACTTCCTCTTCCTCTTCCTCCTGGGGCGCAGGGCATGGCTGGTCTTGGGCCTGGGAAGAGAGAAGCAGCCTTCAGCCTCAATGCAAGGGACAAGGACACAAGGAAAAGGCAGGAATGCTGGGGAAACGGGTCCCAAATGCACAGCACACAGAGTGATACCTAAAAACGAAGCACATCCTCAAAGCTGGAGCGTCAGGCGCCTGGAGTGGAATGGAAGTCCTGTGTCTGGTGGCAAAGGCACACCTCGCACTTCCACGTTTAAGCCCCGGCTGCTCCAAGGGAACTCCCTCAAGGAGAGACTCTGCAGGCAGCATAACTGCTGAACTCTCCTGGAGAAGTAATCCCCAGATTTACTTTGAATTCAGCGAAAGGATTAAGGCAAAGGCTTTGGCTTCTTACTACTGAGAGGGCAACCAAAATTGGCAGCTCCATTTCTCCTCCTGGCCGGAGCCCAAGAAAAACTAGCTGCCGGCCAAGGCAGGAAAGAAAGGACGGATTCTTTTCACCAGTTCATTTCCCTCAACAGCAGCAGCTTCAGCGCAGGATGCTTTCTCGCCACCCTCAAAACCCTGCCCTCCTGCGACATTTCCAGCATGAAGAGAAAGGCAGAGTAATCCCCGGGGGCAAGGAGGAGGGAAACAACTGGGAGGAAAACATATTCTGAGCTGCATTGTGGTATGAACAGTTTTGCAACCAGAACAATTGTATTGCAAAGTTCATGCAAAGACTCCCACAGCATTGTGCAAAAAGGAGTTTCATTGAATCATTATATTTTCTGAGGAAGTATCACTGGATTTTATAATATTTAGCTCTGCCATTCAGTGTCCAAAAACAATACTGTGTGCTAAAGCACTTGGTCTCGGTCCAAATCTGTATTCAGCTCTTTTAAATCCATTGAACATCTTAAGATCAGACCGATTGTCCAAAGCTGTTTGCAAAATGCTCAAGTATTAAAAGAGATAAAAGAATCCAATTCTTGCCTGGAACCCAAGGAAAGCGAGAGGCAGCCAAAGCAGAAAGGATTCTTCTATGCCTGATGAAGCACACTGAGAACATGAATGCTTGCAGTCAGGCATTTCTTCTCATTCAGCCTTAAAGGGGGTTCTGGATTCCTTGATCACTTTTATGAAAAACTATTTATATTGGAGGTGATTAAATGTACTCATTTTGAGACTGTGTTCAAAGTTTTTTAAAGAAAGAATATCAAAATACTGCAGTTTTTCTGAGCACAACCTCCCATCCTATAGGGATTGTAAATGCCAATAAATAGAGGTCAGACCTAAAGATTGTACCAGGTGCCATTCTCCTGGGCAAGATTAGAGTCACAAAGCTGCTAATAGGATTCTGCATTATATTTCTGGTTACTCTCAAAAGACACAGCGAGAAACTTAAAACACTTAGAGCAAGCATGGGCAAACTTTGGCTCTCCGGGTGTTTTGGATTTTAACTCCCACAGTTCCCAACAGATAAAGTCCAAAACACATGGAGGAGGACCCAAGTTGGCTCATGCCTGACCTGGACTAAACTTTGGGGAATTTTGTTAGGCTGCATTTGGGAGGGTTTTTTATTCCCATACATCAACCTTCAGGTGCACTTTGTTGCCAGAGGCCCCATTAACACCTGCTATTTTGAATGGTTGAGAGTAAAATCCTTTGAAGGCACAAGTGCTCCGATCAAAGTCAGCCATAGCAGAGCACTTGATGAACCAACCTGGACACAGCATATTATTTGAGAACACAGAAATGCTGGACCACTCCAACAACCACCATGTCAGACTACACAGAGAAGCCATTGAAATCCACAAGAAGCAGGTGGACAATTTCAACAGAAAGGAGGAAACTGTAAAAATGAACAAAATCTGACTACTAGTATTTAAAAAACATCAGACTCAAGACAGTAAATAAAGAACAACATTCTGAAAACAGGGGAATCCAGACACGAAACAATCAGGCCAACTAACACTTCCCAACAAAAGATCCCCCAGGCAGCAATCAGCCAGGCCTTGAAGCTGCAAGGTCATTACATGCCAATCAACAACATTCACACTTGCCTCCAACAGACAAGAGTTCTTTCTCCCACCCTGGACTTTCCATAGATATATAACTTTTTCCAAGTTTCCAACAGACCTCACAACCTCTGAGGATGTCTCCCATAGATGTGGGCGAAACTTCAGGGGAGAATGCTTCTGGAACATGGCCAAAAAGCCTGGGAAACTCACAGTAACCCAAGGTCTGTATGCCTTACAAAGGTATTGCTGTGGCCAAGCTTTTTTAATGTACAGGTTTTTGTGTTAAGACTGATTGTGATGGGGAAGTGCTTACATTGGCAGAACTGGTCGTGGGCTGCTCCGCTTTCTCCTCCAAGAGCGGCCCAAGTTCGGCCAGCTCCACGTCTTCCCTCTCCCGGACGTTGCTTGAAGGCCCATTTCCTTGGCTGGTCACGGATGCCTTGCGAGACGACATTTGGCCGGAGAAGGATGCAGGACGTCCCAGGCGGAAGGCAGGCCCTGCCGGCACACGGACAGTCGTGCTAGGAAAAAGAAGGCAGGATTTCAGAGGACCATCTCTTTCTCAAGATAGCCATCCACAGAGATTTAGGGCTTGATTTCCAGGCAAGCATAGAAACCTCTCAGGCATAAGGAAATCTCTGCCATTTAACTGTAGGCAATTCAGTAAGTCAGGCATGGCCAAACTTTGACCCTCCCTCCAGGTGTTTTGGACTTCAACTTGCACAATTCCTAACAGCAGGTAGGCTGTTAGAAATTGTGCAAGTTGAAGTCCAAAATACCTGGAGGGCCAAAGTTTTCCCATGTCTGCTGTGAGTTAAATCTGCGCAATAGTAAAAATTACCCAGAAGAAAAGAACAATCATCAAGGATTTCCACCACAGTACATGCATCAGTCAGCTTATCGATGTAGTGATGTCTGACACATGACCTAACTAATTTGCAAACAACTGCTGTTCAGATAATTGGCTGTACTTCTTTGCATTTCTGCATAGAGTTGCCTTCTTAAAACAATTTCATTGGCTGCCTTATTTACAGGCACACCTATTCACAGACACGTCTAGTATGGGAACATCTATTTCTGCTTTATTGACTATTCTAAAGCCTTTGTGGATCATAATAAATTGTGGCAAGTTCTTGGTGGTATGGGCATACCAAGCCACCTTGCCTCTCTCCTGAGGAATCTGAACAAAGCAGCAACAGTAAGAACTGACCATAGAACAACAGACTGGTTCAAGATTGGGAAAGGCGTACAGCAGGGTTGTCTACTCTCCCCCACCCAACCTATTCAACTTGTATACAGAACACATCATGCGATGTGCGGGGCTTGACAAATGCAAGGCTGGGGTGAAAATTGCTGGAAGAAACATGAACAAACTTAGATATGCGGATGATACCACTTTGATGGCCGAAAGCGAGGAGGGGCTGTGGAGCCTTCTAATCAAGGTGAAAGAAGGAAGCGCAAAAGCTGGGTTGAAGCCAGAGGTGGCCCTGGGTAATTTTCAACGGTAAGCACTGATATATATTTTCTGTTCGTTGTGAGAGTTCTGTGTGCCATATTTGGTTCAATTTCATCATTGGTGGAGTTCAGAATGCTCTTTGATTGTAGGTAAACTATACATCCTAATAACTACAACTTGCATATCTCAAGGACTATTTCCCCTCAAGAGTGCCTCAAGAGCACTCCTGGGCAAAATCAACTATACTGCAAATGCTTACTTTGCGTAATGGGTTGAGCCGCCCCCGATTGCAGCTAAACATAAAAAAAACCAAGATTATGGCAACAAGAATGATTGACAACTGGGAAATAGAGGGAGAAAACGTGAAGGCCATGACAGACTTTGTATTTCTAAGTGCAAAGATGACTGCAGACAGAAACTGCAGCCAGGAAATCAGAAGACGCTTCCTTCTTGGGAAGAAAGCAATGTCCAATCTCAATAAAATAGTGAAGAGTAGAGACATCACACTGGCAATGAAGGTCCGCATAGTTAAAGCCATGGTAGTCCTCATAGTCACCTATGGATGTGAGAGCTGGACCTTAGGGAAGGCTGAGCGAAGGAAGGGAGATGCTTTTGAACTGTGGTGCTGGAGGAAAGTGCTGAGAGTGCCTTGGACAGCGAGAAGATCCAACCAGTCCATCCTCCAGGAAATAAAGCCCGAATGCTCATTGGAGGAAAGGATAGTAGAGACCAAGATGAAGTACTTTGGCCACATCATGAGGAGACAGGGAAGCTTAGAGAAGACAATTATGCTGGGGAAAATGGAAGGAAAAAGGAAGAGGGGCCGACCAAGGGCAAGGTGGGTAGATGGCATCCTTGAAGTGACTGGATTGACCTTGAAAGAGCTGGGGGTGGTGACGGCCGATAGGGAGCTCTGGCATGGGCTGGTCCATGCGGTCACGAAGAGTCGGAAACGACTGAACGAATGAACAACAACAAGTATGGGAACATGATGTAAGAAGAACATTACCCAGGGCCTCTTGGTTCAATGGATGGAACTCAAACATCTGTTGAAGTCCATTTCTGCCTCAATATAAGAAACAATTTAAAAACCATTGCAACGTTGGTTTCGCTGTATGTACCATCGCGGAAATTAAGATCCTCCAGGGAGGCCCTGCTTTCCATCCCGCCATTGTCACAGGCGCGATTGGTGGGGACACGGGACAGGGCTTTCTCGGTGATTGCTCCCCGGCTATGGAACTCCCTTCCTTGTGAGATCAGGTCGGCCCCCTCGCTCCTGTCCTTTAGAAGGATGGTAAAAACTTGGCTGTGGGACCAAGCTTTCGGGACAGGGAAACGAAGCGATAATAGGAAAGATGACAGGGAGATTCCATCTGAACATGAGGAAGAACTTCCTGACTGTGAGAGCCGTTCAGCAGTGGAACTTTCTGCCTTGAAGTGTGGTGGAGGCTCCTTCTTTGGAAGCTTTTAAACAGAGGCTGGATGGCCCTCTGTCAGGGGTGATTTGAATGCAATATTCCTGCTTCTTGGCAGAATGGGGTTGGACTGGATGGCCCAGGAGGTATCTTCCAACTCTTTGATTCTATGATTCTAGGGCCAATTGGATTTGATGCGGATGGCTAGGATGGTTTTAAATTGTGTTATTTTAAAAGGTGTATTTTAATATTTAGATAAATGTTTTTTAATGTTTATGTATTGTACCCAGGCATTGAATGTTTGCCGTGTATACGTTGTGCTCCGCTCTGAGTCCCCTTCGGGGTGAGAAGGGCAGAATATAAGTGTTTTAAATAAATAATAATTAAATAATATCGCACACACTGGTAAAAACAGCCTAAGTCCAAACCGTTGGCAAGGCTGCAGAGGAAATGGCACCTCGAAGCACATGAGGCGAGGAAGCCCAGCTGTAAAGGAAGCTCTGCAATCAAGGAACAGATTTCTATCTCATGCACAGGATAAGCCACAGGAGAGCCTCTCAGGGAGAAAACATCGATGGCTTCCCATGCAGGAATTTGAAAATAAACAATTATCTCATAAACAGCTAATTGGAATGCCTTTGACAGCTGCTAGAGCTGGGAGAGATTGGAAATCGGCACAGAAGGTTCCATAAAGAGTACAAAGGAAACTGGCCCTTAAGTTGGCCTAGATGCTGAAAGATAACAGGGGACAAAAGGACACTGAAAGTTTTGCAGTTTTTCTGAGATCCTTTTATTTCATATATATTACAGAAACTCAAAATGCAAGTAGACCAGTGGTTCTCAACGTTCCTAATGCCACGACCCCTTAATACAGTTCCTCATGTTGTGGTGACCCCCGGGCATTAAATTATTTTCGTGGCTACTTCATAATTGTAATTTTGCTACTGTTATGAATCATTATGTAAATATMTGATATACAGGATGTATTCTCATTCACTGGACCAAATTTGGCACAAATACCCAATATGCCCAAATTTGAATACTGGTGGAGTTGGGATGGGAGGATTGATTTTGACATTTGGGAGTTGTAGYTGCTGGGATTTATAGTTCGCCTACATTCAAAGAGCRTTCTGAACTACACCAACAATGGACTTGGCACACAGAACTCCCATGACCAACARAAAATACTGGAAGGGTTTGGTGGGYATTGACCTTGGGTTTTAGAGTTGTAATTCGCTTACATCCAGAGAGCACTGTGGGCTCAAACAATGATGGATCTGGATCAAACTTGGCACGAATATTCAATATGCCCAAATGTGAACACTGGTGAAGTTTGGGGAAAACAGACCTTGACATTTGGGAGTTGTAGTTGCTGGGATTTATAGTTCACCTACTACCAAAGAGCATTCTGAAGCCCACCAATAATAGAATTAGGCCAAACTTCCCACACAGAACTCCCATGACCAACAGAAAATACTGGAAGGGTTTRGTCTTTGGTGACCCCTCTGACACCCCCTCACGAYCCCTTCAGGGGTCCCGACCCCCAGGTTGAGAACTACTGAAGTAGACTCTCCTCCTCCTCCTCACAGAAGATGGTGGAAGGAGGTCCTCACAGGACAGGCAGAAATGGGAAAGAAAGGAATGAACTTGGAAAGTAAAATTCACTGAACAGAGTGCGTTTTGTGATGAACCTGCAAAAGAGCCTCAAGCATCTTACTAATATCATCTATGGGATCGTTTAAGCCAGGCCTGGGCAAACTTGGGTCCTCCAGGTGTTTTGCACTTGAATTCTCACCATTCCTAGCAGCCTCGGACCTTTTCCTTTTCCCCCTCATTTAAGCGGCTGAGGGGGGAAAGGAAAAGGTCCGAGGCTGCTAGGAATGGTGAGAATTCAAGTCCAAAACACCTGGAGGACCCAAGTTTGTCTAGGCCTGCGCTACACTCTATTTTTCAAGTGATTCTGAATACAACTGTGTTTTAACATTGTGAGTTCTTTAACTACATATATCTAACAATCTCAAATTTGTGGTTTTATCTGGGGATGTTTAGCCTACAGAGGAGAAATGCCTCCTCTCAATCTTCTCTTCTGCAGGCTAAACAACCCCAGAGAAAACCTCAAAGTTAAAACTGTAAGATATAATTAAAGAGAGCCACGTCATGAGGAAGAAGGGGCAAGCTTCCTTTCTGCTGCCCTGGAGGCCAGGACTCAACAGAGCCATAGTTTCAAATGGTAGGGAAGGAGATTCCACTGAAACTTGAGGAAGAACTTCCTGACTATAAGAGCTGTTCAGCAGTGGAACTCTCTGCCTCGAAGTCCAATGGAAGCTCCTTCCTTGGAGGCTTTTAAACAGAGACTGGATGGCCATCTGTTGGGAATGCTTTGACTGTACTTTTCCTACAGAGCAGGGGATTGGACTAGATGGCCCTTGGGGTCTCTATTATTCTATCTGTATCCACTTTTAATTTTGTTGTGACCTGCCTCGAGTCCTAGTTTAGGAAAGACAGAAGGAGAAAGGAGAAAGAGAGGAGAGGAAGAAGGAAGGAAGACTAGCTGGCTAATTGTGCCTTCCTAGAATAAGGATAACTCTTAGCAATATGTCCTCAAATGCACTTTAACATTGATTTAGGATTGCCTGTGCACCCTCACTTTTCTTTGAAAACCCTATCGTAGTTATACCCTACCTTGTTCACACCCAGCATTATTGTTTAAAATTTAAATTATTACATTTGGCCTGGCCATAGGTTTATACATGCTTGTATGTTATTGTTATTGTTTATTTTTGTTTTGAGATTTATTTTACTGTTTTGTATTGATTATTTTGTTATTGCCTTCGTTTTATTGATGTACTGTGGGCTTGGCCTCATCTAAGCCACACCGAATCCCTTGGGGAGATGGTAGCGGGGTACAAATAAATTATTATTATTATTATTATTATTATTATTACTGTTTTTCTTTCTGTTTTCCCCATTTACACTCAATCCCCAATAAGGTATATAAGGATCTGTCAAATGAGAAAGTTATTGCATAATCTGTGTCACAAAATCGTAGGCCATAATATATTTGTGAAACTTTAGGGTGTCACACTACTTTGTTTTTGTTTCTCGGTGAGGTGCCCCTGTACCGCAGCAGCCTCCATCCCAAATAATGTATTCCCTATGGGAGAGGAAGGGACATGGCTAATAATACAACACTAGCCACCTACAGTTTTTCCAAACAGTTGAGTATTATTAAGAAACATTTTTCAAAAAACAAGACAAAAACATTAAAGTTGCCGATGGAATAATTAAACAATGAGGCCTTTTTACTAAAAATCAGGGGGGGAAATCTCACAATGCTACCAGGATAGTAAACAAGACCGACGCAAATCAAGTTGCTTTCTCAAATGTTTACATCTAATGGGAGCAGAATATTAAGGGACCCTTCAGATGTGCATTCCAAAGGAATCAAGCCAGAAGGAGCAGCTCTGTTGGATTTATGGTGCCTGCAGACACTGAAAGCCAAAGATTGACATTCACAAACAGGGACACGAGAAAATAAACTGTGGGTCCAAACTCTTGTCAAAGTCTATACAGTAGGGCTATATTTTACTCTTAATTTGAGACTATTCAAGATATGACTCATGGACCAGAGAAGACAAGTGTTCTATATTTTGAAGGGGAAAAGAGAAGTCAGCAGGCGCCAGCTGGTCACACGGAAAGCTGCAGAAATAAGGATGTGGATCACAATGTTCCCTGAGGACCTGTGAACGGGAGGCTGCTTCTTCCTTCCAAAGGCAGACCACCATCCCTTCTCCAAAAGCGGCTCCACGGCCAGCCGCAGCAGGATGTTCACAGGGCAAACTTCAGGCCTCCAGACATTTTGGACTCTAACTCATACAGTTTCTAACACCCTACCTGCATTTAAACAGATGATTCCAATATACGTATAGTCTATCTTTTTCTGCCAGCACTCCTCCAAAGTAGCTGATGACATATATATATGCAAGGATGATTATTCACACAGACAGGGAGGTGTGATCCTGAGCAAGCAGCTGCAGAAACTACCAGGTGTTTGGGTCTCTAAGGAAGAGAAGTTTTTTGGCTGAACAGCTTGGCATTTTGCAACTTTTCCTGGCAGAAGGGGTGACTCATGGCGCCAAGGCAGGGAGGCAATTGCTGCTGTTTTTGTGGTCTTTCTGAACACTGAGGTTCCTATGCCAGAAGGAACTGGTTACCCAGTGTTAGCCACAGCTAAAGCAAGATAATAATGAGATTTCAAACTGTGTGAGTCCACCCACTCAGCAATTTAGAAAGGAAGGCAAACTCTTCACAGATGAAAATGCACTCTGCCCCGAGGGCTAAGAAACACTTGAAAGACCCAGAAGTCAAAAGGTCTGATTAAGAATCCAAACCCTGTCAATTATTTGCTGAACTGCCCAGCTTCAACTAATCCGAGGGAATAGTACATAAGTTAAGGAAACCACAGTCTGAACAGAGAACAGAAACAACAGTGAGAAAGGGAAAGAAGGCAGGAAAGGTCTTGTTTGTACCTCTGTGTTGTCAAGAAAGAGGATGCCCCTCGACGGCCACCGGCTCACAGCTCCTCCCAGCTTGCCATTCCAGCTCTGCAAAGCCTAGAAACAGGATTTCCAAGGATTAGGAGTAAACACTTTTGGTTCTTATGGTACAGGAAAAGCTTGTTTGACATTTCCCCTACTCTGTTTAAGTGCCGCTCTGTCGCAAGGCACTCTAATCTCTCTCCGACTCTTTCCCGTTCAGTTCGGCCGTCCCTGTGGCCCAAATAGCTATCCAACAAAACATGTAAAGAGACTGCAAAAAGATGAGACCATTTTGATTTCTCTCTTATTTATAGTTCACCTTTTCCTTAGTTTAGACACAAAACGGGATAAGCAAACACCCCGTGTCTCAAACATGTGTGACCCCAACCACCTATGGATTATGCATCGTAATTAAGAGCATGCTTCTCAAGGAAGGCACAGATTTGTTTTAAATCCCATCTTGTCATGAATGACTTTTCAAAAACTCTAAAGCATGGGTTCTTTTTATTGCAATTTCCAGTGTGAGAGGGTATATCAGATTACAGAAAACATTTAGACCAGGGGTCTTCAAACTACGGCCCAGGGGCCGGATACCCCCCCCCCCCCCAGGTCATTTACTCGGCCCTCGCTTAGGGTCAACTTAAGTCTGAAATGACTTGAAAGCACACAACAACAATGACAATCCTATCTCATCAGCCAAAAGCAGGCCTACATTTCCCACTGGAATACTAATAAGTTTATATTTGCTAAAATTGTTCTTCATTTTTAATTATTGTATTGTTTTAAGTGTTTTTGCACTACAAATAAGATATGTGCAATGTGCATAGGAATGAATTCATGGTTTTTTTTAAATTATGATCCAGCCCTCCAATAATTTGAGGGATTGTGCCCCGGCCCTCTGTTTAAAAAGTTTGAAGACCCCTGATTTAGACAAAGAATGGCCTTGGACATACAGACATACAGATTCTATGCAACTACATTAGATTCACAATTACACGGCTAACAAACAAACAAAGAAGAATTACATTTTCACTCAACATTCACACCACATTTACATGCACCCATCCTCATGCACTCAGATATTATTATATCCTTATCTCCCTCCTTGGAGAAGCACCTGTTAGGCCAGACCTACTTTCCTGCCAATGCACAGTTCGAAAACTTCCATAACTTCAAAACTTCTTTTTCCCTAAAAACAATGCCAAGGACCAGATTTCTGTTTTCCATACAGCAGAACCTGACTCCTGCACAAAATCTAAGACTCCAAAAGTGCACTTCTTCCTCTTCCCTTGAGAAAGAAGCTTCAAAGTGACCAGACTGCTTCCTTGCAAATCTGCCACTCTCCAAATACACCATCTCTGTTCTTCGCATGGAGCAGAGCATGGCGAGTGAACCAGACTCCTCTGGTCTGCCACAATTTGAACATTATTAGACTGAGTCTTTTTATAGGAATATTCTGCTGATGTAGTCCCAAACTTGTAAATTAATGATAGATGTCTTTCATCCTGGTCCCATCTCAGTTTCCTGGCCAGATACTGACTCTTCTTGATTGGTGTTATCCGAACATATCTCCTGCTATGAACCGTCACAAAGCTTAAGATCATCAGGAGAGGTCCTGCTCTCGATCCCATCACTCTCGCAAATACGATTTGTGGGGACGAGAGACAGGGCCTTCTCGGCAGTGGCCCCCCGTCTGTGGAACTCTCTCTCTAAGGACATCAGGTTGGCCACCTCCCTCCTGTCTTTTAGACCCTTTGGGGTCAGGTGTTCGATTAGAAGCCAGCGGCAATAGGAAAAGGAAATTTGGATTTTTGCGACACAGATTCTCCCGGCTCAGCTTGGTTTTCCTGGCACGTTAATCTATTAATTTATTGTTAAATTTTATTGATGATGTACAATGTTTTAAAATGATTTTATTGTGAGTTGTAGTTTTTATGGTATTTATGTTGTTAGCATCCTCTGATGCTCATGTGAGGCCGTGCTGAGTCCTCCTTGTGGGGAGATATAAATATTTGAAATAAATAAATATTTGAAATAAACACAAGGCTTGTGTTGACTTCCTTCTTGACATAAGGAATGTTGCAAACATTTCCTTAACTTGAAAGAACCATTGTCACAGTTCTTATCAGGGTTTACCTTTCAGTTCTTATTAGCAACTTTTAATTACAGTCCAGCAAGCAGTTAGTTAGTTATTGCAGGCCTTGGTCTTTTATTGGTGTTTCCAAAATTATTAATTCCATCCATACATCCTTTCATTCAACTCATTCATTCCCACACATCATTAAATCCATATTTATCAAATCTGCAATGATATTTTTGTGACAATCTCACATAGGGTTTTGCAGTGCTTCAAAGGCAGTGTGCTCATCTTTATTCCTTTCCACCTTCTGTGTGCAACTGCTGTGCACAGGGTGCTTTTTGGCATTTCAGAGGAAAATGCTGACACTAGTCCTAACAGGTCTCATTAGTACTCCCTACACATTGACAGAACAGTGGAAGTGTGACCTAGAATCCCCAATCGTAGTTTTCAATCTCACAGGCCTCAATGAACACCTTTTCATAACTGCTCTTTGCAAACCAAGCAAACAAGCTACTGATACAGCCTGGCAGCTCTACTTCACATAGAACAGAGTTTCAAAGACAATTACTGCACAAGAGGTATGCAGAATCAGCCTGTGAAGGAAATCAATAATTTGGGAACTAGTGGACTGTAATAATGACTGAACTTCTTATGAATGTTTTTTCTGCCTTGAGGTTTCGGAATTGGCTGAACAAAGGCTTAAGGAAGGATTGTGCGACAAATAAAATGCTTCCTCGTGCCACAAAAGCAACAGTTCTCTTGTGTCAAAGCTTAATGGAGATGCATGAGAAAATAATCTTTCAACTTCCCCCCTCCCATCCAACTTTTTGTCTTGTGGAGTTTGTGAAGTCTCACACAAAGAGCTCACCTTTTGACAGATTTTCCTTACGCATGTGTTATTTCTGTTTGTATTTTGGTTTCTCTTTGGTTGCTTCCAAAAGACAGCTTTCCCAGCATATTAGGGGCTTACAGATCTCAAGGGTGCAAACAAAGACAACCCAATGAAGAATCCAAACACTCATAGTATTTTTTTAAAAAACCCTCTAAAATCATAACAATAAACAAAGAACAACATTCAAAAACAGGGGAATTCCAGACAAGAAACAATCAGGGCCAGCTAATCACCTCCAAACAAGGGATTCCCCCAGGCAGTAAGAAGCCAGAGCTTGAAACTGCTAGGCTAATCAAGACAGGCAATTGAAACATTCACACCTGCCTCAAACAGACAAGTGTTCTTTCTCCCATCCTGGACATTATCCCACAGATATATAAACCCCATTTTCCAAGTTTCCAACAGACCTCACAACCTCTGAGGATGCCTGCCGTAGATGCAAGGAAAATGTCAGGAGAGAATGCTTCTGGAACATGGCCAGATAGCCTTCTGTGAAAAATTCCAACAACCCACTCACATTTTTATTATCTTTATTTATATCTTGTTTTATCTCTCCTGAAGGAGACACACTGCGAGAGGCCCAATCACTTCGATTCCTTTACTGAGTGTGAGCACTACACTATCACAAGGCACTGACTCCTATGACTTCACACAGCTTTTCCAATGGTAAAGCAGAGGAACAAATAAAACTTACTGAAGTGTCCTAAGAATGCAAATTAAAGGGCTAACTATTCTATCCAAAAAGTCACTCATCAATCTTCTAGAGTACACAATTTTAAAGCTACACTCTTACTTTAACAGTCATGGTAGTGTCCTGAGGTCCATCAAACTGGTACTGCAATTCTCTGGATGCAAATTGTTGTTTGTTTGTTTGTTTAGGCGATCCCTCGCTTTCCGAGGATGATTGTCTTCCAATATTCTTGTGGGTCCGTATGTGGCTGTGGAGCCCTATTCTTGCTCTGCATCTTCTTCCGCAGTGAGGGCATTGGTTTCCAGGTGGAAGGCGGTCTCGGCCGGGGTTGGCTTGACGCGCCTTCCTCTTGCCACGTTTCTCTTTTTCACCCTCCACTCGTGCCTCCTCGAATTCTGCAGCACTGCTGGTCACAGCTGACCTCCAGCTGGAGCGGTCAAGGGCCAGGGTTTCCCAGTTCTCACTGTCTATGCCAGAGTTTTTAAGGTTGGCTTTGAGCCCATCTTTCAAGCTCTTTTCCTGTCCTCCAACATTCCGTTTTCCGTTCTTGAGTTCGGAGTAGAGCAGCTGCTTTGGGAGACGGTGGTCGGGCATCCAGACAACACGGCCGGTCCAGCGGAGTTGGTGGCGGAGGACCATCGCTTCAATGCTGGTGGTCTTTGCTTCTTCCAGCACGCTGACGTTTGTCTGCTTGTCTTCCCAAGAGATTTGCAGGATTTTCCGGAGGCAGTGCTGATGGAATCGTTCCAGGAGTTGCATGTGACGTCTGTAGACAGTCCACGTCTCACAGGCATAGAGCAAGGTTGGGAGGACAATAGCTTTATAAACAAGCACCTTAGTATCCCTACGGATGTCCCAGTCCTCAAACACTCTCTGCTTCATTCGGAAAAATGCTGCGCTTGCAGAGCTCAGGCGGTGTTGTATTTCGGTGTCGATGTTGACTTTGGTGGAGAGGTGGCTGCCAAGGTAGCAGAAATGATCAACATTTTCTAATGTTACACCATTAAGCTGTATCACTGGCATTGGAGAGGGGTTGGCTGGTGCCTGCTGGAAAAGCACCTTGGTTTTTTCAATGTTCAATGACAAGCCGAGCTTCTCGTATGCTTCTGCAAAGGTGTTTAGAGTGGCTTGTAGATCTTCTTCTGAATGCGCACAGACGACGTTGTCATCAGCATACTGGAGTTCTATAACAGATGTTGTTGTGACCTTGGTTTTGGCTTTCAGTCTGCTGAGGTTGAATAGCTGACAAGGCACAAGGCACTGACTCCTATGACTTCACTCAGCTTTTCCAATGGTAAAGCAAAGGAACAAATAAAACTCCTTACTAAAGTGTCCTAAGAATGCAAATTAAAGGGCTAACTATTCTATCCAAAAAGTCACTCATCAATCTTCTAGAGTACACAATTTTAAAG